TCCTTAACAGATGTTTGAGTTAATAGCATGCTCATTAGCATGACAGACGGAATTTTTGATTCTCTGTGAATGAGGAAGGGAAGGTGGTATGAGCAGCCATATTGCTCAAAAGGAAGGCAGAGTTAAACTGACAGACTCACTGAAAGTTCTTTCACAAGAGGACCCAATTGACACTGGAGTGGTAGGGATGAGGGATCAAGTTTATTTCTCGTTTTAATCGTTCATTGGGACCTCTAATCCAAACTCTTAGCAGGGGGTATGGTCATGGGAAAACTTTTGCCAGGCAAATAGTATCATAGTTCCAAGAAGTGTGGGTTGATATCAAAATGTGTTCCTTTGTTCTGTGATTTTTTTTTTCAATATATTTTTCCCAAGACTCTGCTCTGTGCCCATGCAGGCACTTGGGAAACGCTTAACACTTTGCTTTTGACCACATGGAGATTTTGGTCGTCCCTGAACCTTTTGTTTGTTTCTTTTTGTTTCTGAAGGATTCGAGTCTAAATCTAGAGATTGCCACTAGAGTCCCACTAGAGATTCTCCATCCTCACTCAGTCTTGCGCTGTGGGAACACTGCTATTAGAGTAGCTGCCACGCTTACTGCACTTGCTGCATGTTATTCTCTGTCCATTTTGTGTGAGTAGGTGGTGTCATCATCACAGTTGTCCTTCCTGTCACAGTTGACAGTGAGCAAAATTCAGCTCTCAAGCAGGTAAAAGCAGTCTTTCTGTGTTATGCACCCATGTATTTGCATATTTTTAATTTTTAAAACATTATGTGTGTTCAATTCTATTAATCAACATACCTGTTTTTTATGCCAATACCATTCAGTTATTATTACTATAGCTCTGTAGCACAGCTTGAAACCAGAGATGGCGATACTTCCGGAAGTTTTTCTTTATTGTACTGGATTGATTTAGCTATCCTGGGATTTTTGTTTTTCCATATGAAGCTGAGACTTGTTCTTTCAAAGTCTGCAAAGAATTATGTTGGAATTTTAATGGGGATCCAACTGAACCTGTTGATTGCTTTAGGTAAAATGGTCCTTTTTACTATGTTAATCCTGCTGATCCATGAGCATGGGAGATCGTTCCGGCTTCTGATACCTTCTTCTTTGAAGTCCACTTTCTTTGAAATTCACTTGCTTGGTTAGGGTTGCTCCACTAGATATTTTTTAGTGTTAGTGGCTACTGTGAAGGGTGTTGTTTTCCTGATTTCTTTCTTGGTCCGTTTGTCATTTGTGTATAGGAGGGCAACTGATGTTTTTGAGTTAGTCTTGTATCCAGCTCCTTCACTGAAGATGTTTCTCAACTGTCAGGATTCCGTGGTAGAATTTTGGGGTTACTTACGTATATTATCATATAATCTGCAAGTAATGATACTTTGACATTTTCCTTTCCAATTTGTGTCCCTTTGATCTTCAGTTGTCTTATTGCTCTATCTAGAACTTCAGGTGCTACATTGAAGAGCTATGGAGAGTGGACAGCCTTGTCTTGTTCCTGATTTTACTGGAATTGCTTTACACAGCTCTGCACGAGGTCCTTGTCGTGTGTGCTATACTTGCTTATCGTGGGGGTTTGTGGGACTCCTAACAATGGGAGTCGGGGTGGTTCTCACTCTTTTGCCTGAATTTGGGAGCCTTTTTCTCCTGTTATGCCTCCGTGGGTTGGTATCCCAAGGAGGCCTGCTCTTTCTGAAGGGAAGTAGAGGAACAGTAGATCTTGAGGGGATGACACCTGGAAGAGTGGAGGGAGGGAGGCTGGAGTGGAGATGGATTGAATGAGAGAAGAATAATAAGAAGAAAAAAGAGGGGAAAATATATGTTAATGTAACATGATGTAGAATAGCTAACCCAAACAATATATGTATGATTACCATTCACACATTTGCTGTATTTTGTGGTAAAATTACTTAAATCTATTTTGTGTGCTTTCCATGTATACATTTATTAACTGAAATATCTACCTTGTACAATAGATCTTAGATTATTTTTCATCTCTAGCTGTACTTGGCGTCCTTTAATGAGAATATTCCTACCACCATCTCCCACCCTGTTAACTACCATCCTTCCCATTTTCTGACTTTAAAACATTCTTAATTTTCCTTTCATTCTCCCATGTTTCATGCTTTCTGTGGAGATCCCTCACAGCTCTGAACGCATATTTGAAAACATGTTGAGTAGATCCCCTCAAGTTAAAGATGACATCATCAACCTGGATGTGTCATTGGAGATGGATGTTGTGTGCTCTAAGGAATGAATGGTTTGTATTCAAACGACATGGCTCACTGAAAGTGATGGGGGCCTCTCCGCCAGTGCTGCTTGAGGCCATCTCATGTTTTAGGGACATCAAAGACAAATAAGTACATGACTAGAGAAAGACAATGTGGATGATTTAATGGTTCTGTCTCTCTGAGAACAGGCTGACGAGTAAAAAAATTTGTTAGATGATAAAGATTTTGATTAGCAAATCTAAGTACTTTTGCTCAGAAAACACTAGTTCCACTAACGGAAACAAATGGGATTCAGGGGAAAGGAGTTTCCACATCTGTTCCATAGAATATAATAACAATAGTTTTCTTTTGGATGCTGACCAAAGGGACCAGGGAGCATCTGAGTAGCCGTACCTCTGCAAGTTCCATGGAATCATAAGGGATCAGAGGGGCAGTGTGTGGAATTGTGAGGTCTTAAAATTATGACTGTAGCTAACTGTTTTGTCTTGCATTTTCCCTGCCTTCTCCCTCTCACCATCTCTGTAAAGTTTGATGATGTTTACTTTGACTTCCTTTCCTATGTTGAAATCAGTTGAGAAGTTTTGTGGAAAGGGAGGAAGGGAGACAGGAAGCAATCAGAGACAAACATTTAGATTTTCTGTAGTATGTTAAGCAACAAAACTTACGAAACTTATTTAAATATGATCTAACTAGAAAATATCTTGTGAAGTGTAGTCTGTTGTATGTAGGCAATTTTTAAATATTCCAATTTAATTTTAATCTAGTAGCTAGCCTTTATGTTTGTAATATTTTTAAACATTTAAAAAAATAAAAATAACCATTGGAAATTCTCATTCCCTCTCCCAGACTTCAGCTCCATTCTGTATCCTTCAGATACCTGTTGGGGTTTTGTGAGACTACAAGTTAAAGCGTGCAGTGAGACTATGCAGTTCTTATATAGAGGCTAATGTGGTAAAACTACCAGATATACATTGATATTCACTCCATTTCTCTTTTTTCTTTACTAACCTTGTAACCATGTAGCCAAAGCTTTCACATCTGGAGGGCATTCCAGTCTGTAGTGTACCACAGTTCGTTTATTTTCTCCTAAATCGTGGTTATTTCCTACCTTTAGCCTTTGGAAATATTTCCCAGAAGTGGGGTTTCTGGGTGGGAAGGAAGTCCAGGCAGAGGTTTGAATAATATTGCCACATGCCCTTCCTTTCTGCTGTGGCCCCTTTCCTCCTGCCAGCGCTCTATAAAGAAGCCTCCTCCACTACACTCACACTAATACATCATCTTTTCACACCTTGCAGTTTGGCCTATAATAGGTTCAAAAATCGGAATGTCAGGGTGCTTTACTCTGCCTTTGTCTTACTATGAAATTGAGATTTTTCTTATATCTTGTAAATATATGTGGAAATGAAAAGCAAGGAAACTAAGGTCTAAAATGTGTTCAGTAGCTAGAACCTTGCGAAATGGTTAAATTGCTTTATTTCCTTTAGAAATATTAAAATGTATTTGGGTGGTGCTTACTGGCTTCATATTGTGTACATTGTGGGTCCATGTGAGTATCTTTCTGTGCTTGGCAAACTTGTCCTTCTGCCTATTAGTCAGTTGTGATCATTTTATCCTTCTTTTCTCATTGCTATAAAATACCTCCAGGAGTTCCCAGCATCACTTCCTGTGACCCATCCCCCTTCATCCTTGCTCTTCCTCCTATTACAGCCAATTTCTAGGGTTATATTAAGAAACTTTTTTGGTTACATGTTTTTGAAATGGCAGTGTCAAAATTGTCACGGTCATTTATTTCTCCCAGAAGATATTTACACTCAGTCCATGTCTCAATTCTGGTACCACCTCATTTACTTTTGTCCCTGTATTTTATCTGTATTAGCCAATTACTTTGGTATCTGCTTTTTATAAAATGCCATGTGCCCTTTACACTTGGTGACAAGGAGACAACATAAGCACATACTTGGTTGTCTGTACATGAACTGAATAGACAAAGCACAATGGCCTGGAAATAGACTGGAAAGGAATATTTGTTCACTGACCACAATGCCCAGCAGCCTCTTATACACATAATTCTGAAGGGATAATATCATAGTTTGACTTTATGTAATTACACTGAATCAATGTTGTTGGGAACTGATGTCATTTAACAAATATATATATATATATATATATATATATATATATATATATATATCCATTGAAAGCAAGGCTACCCCTACAGAAAAGTGCAAAACAATAATATATATTTATCTCCTAGTTAGGACAGCTGTTAATATTCTGGTATATAGACATTGGGTATTTTAATACAAGACATAAAACATTTAACACAAAATATAAAGTTGAAATTCTTTGTCATCCAGCTCCTATTCTCAGTATCATTGTAAATAAAAGAATATCTTTTTTGCCCCACACATTATATATAAGCAACTTCAAAGAGAAATATGCAGTATTTGTGGGTGTCCTCTTATTGTGCCATATAATTTTGTTTTCTATTTATCATACTTTTCCTTTGACTCTTATAGTCTTATTTCTTTTTAGAATTAATCAAAGTATTCTGTTCTACCCCAAATAGAAGTCATGCTTTTCTGTTCCATTCTATTTCATTTAATTAGTGAAATAACTTATTTTTAAAAAATGAAACTTGTATTGAGATGGAATGATGACCTTGCTATCTCCATGGAAACAGCATAAGCACACAGATACTGATGTGTATGAAGTCATATTTATATTTTTCTGATCTGTATAACCACCTTGTTATCTTGTTTATCTTCCAGATTTATTCAGGAGATTGAGTATGCCTTAGGACTTGGCCCTGACAAACAGTGTCCCCTTCGAGAGTTTCTCACCGTGTACATCAAAAACATCTTCCTCAGTCAGGTCTTGACTGAGATCAACAAGGAGATTGAAGGAGTCACCAAAACGGCAGACCCCTTGAAGATCCTAGCCAATGCAGACACCATGAAAGTTCTGGGGGTGCAGAGGCCTCTTCTACAGGTAATAAGAAGACTCCTTCCTAATTTTTAATATGTGTTATGTACGTATATTTGTATGTATGCATGCATGTATATAGATATAGATATAGATAAAGATATAGGTTTGTGTGTGCGTGCATGCGTGCTTGCGTGTGTGTGTGTGTGTGTGTGTGTGTGTGTGTGTGTGTGTGTGTGCCACTTGTGAGCCAGGTACCTGCAGAGACCAGCAGGTCTCAAATGGTTGTGAGCCACATGACGTGGGTGCTAGGAATCCAACCCAGGTCCCCCAGAAAGCCAGCCAGTGTTCTTAATCACTAAGCTGTCTCTCCAGGCCCCAAATTACAGTTCTTAATCACCATTTTCTAATGACTTGGCAAGAGTCATACCTTTAGAAAAGAAGAATTACCATCTGGTTATCTTTTCAACAGAGACAAAACAAAAGGAAATAAATGAAGTAGACACTGGGGAAATTTAGATCTGATACAGTTTGGATAATGAAAATTCCCAAGATCATGAAAGGAATAAAAAAGTTTTGATTTGACTATGGAAGGTGATGGATCTCATTGATATTCATGCTGCTCTTTTTGTTGCTTGTCTAAATTATGTCCTTAAAAGAATTGGTTTTCCATTGGTGACTGCATCCCAGAGTAGGAGGGATCAACAGGAAGGGAAGTAGCAAACTCAGTCACAGGGGAAGCCAGTTCCCCAAACCAATGTTAGGTGGTTAATGTAAATAACGGCTAGCTTAGAGGGTCTGAACCCAGGAAACTGGCTGTTAAAAGTCAGATCATTCAATTCAAGCAATGATCTTGTTAATATTGAACACTTGACCTTTAATTATCCAACAATAGATATTTTTGTTTCATAGCCCTGTAGTAGATATTTTGTATACATTTTAGCTTATGACATGATGATAAATAGAAAATGAAAAAATCATGGGTTTGAGTTATGGATATACCTTATATTAATCTTGCTTTAAGAAGAGCAAAATTGGGGTGTGGTAGCTCACACTATCGATTCCAGCAGACGCAGGTGGATATCTGTGACTTTGAAGCTAGCCTGGTTCACATGATGAGTTTCAGACCATCCAGGGGCTACATAGTATGACTCCATCTCAAGAAAAGAGCAGTGAGCACAAAGCATTGTTCCATAAATTACACAGTATGAAGGGCTCCCGGTGTAGTAGACCTGAGCTCTTCAACAGAACTGTGTATGTCGAAGCGTTATACTTGCTTCAGTTAGCTTTGCAGCTGTGCTACCTAACTTGGTATATCTGTGTACCTAGTTAGAGTTTAGGGATGTGCTAGAAGTTCCTCAGCAGGGTGTCTAGTTTTATACAGACTCTGTATGATAAAGAAGAGATGCGGTTGGGTGTTGGTGGAGTACACCTTTAATCTCAGCACTCAGGAGGCACAGGCAGGTGAATCTCTGTGAGTTCGAGGCCAGCCTGGTCTACCCAGCTAGTTCCAGGACAGGCTCCAAAGCTACATAGAGAACCCCTGTCTGGAAAAACCAAAAACCAAAACAAACAATCCAGCAGAGGTAAACTAGAAGCATCGTAGGGAAAATTGCTCATGTGTACTGTCTGGTATAGCCAGGTATGCTCTTGCTGAGGGGGATGCACTAAGACAGGTGTACAGAGAGGGGGCGCCAAAGCTGTGTGCACACGGTCCACTGTCCCTTTTGGATTACTGTTCCACTGATAATACCTTTTCCCTGAATCTTAGTATGTCACACCACCTGGAAGGAAGGGTTTTATTGCTGCTACCTAACCAGGTCCCCTTTTTCTGATTTTCCCCGTCCTTCCCTTTCTCTTCTCCGTATATTTTCAGTGCTGAGGTCAATCCCTATGTACTGTACCCCTGAGACCATCTTGTCAAGGGACTTTTGACTGTGTCCTTCTGGGTGGGATCCCCATCAGGGCCCCAAAGACCAGAGAAAAAAGAGGCTGAACTGTTTCTTCCTCCCTACTTGAAATGATGAAGCTTCCTCAAATGCTGGGTCTCCTGCTCTCTCTGTGCTCTGACTACAGTTTCTTCTCTTCACTCTCTGAGTGAAACTACTCTATTAGTAGCCTCTATATCCTCAACGCCCCTAGTTCCTATTCTCACCCCGACCATGCTTCTGTAAGTTATCTATTTCTTCATTTGAATTTCCTATATGGCACACTCCCAATATCTCCATTGACCATTCCTTTGGTATTATCTGCATGTGTGCATGTGTGCATGCATGCATGCATGCTTGCTTGCTTGCTTGCTTGCTTGCTTGCTTTAACTTCAAATTGAACTCAGGACCTTATACATGAAAGGCCAACATTCTACCACTGAACTACACTCCTAAGCCCAACACTGGGTTTTTCCTTCTTAGCATTTATTACAGATATAGTTACCACTTTTGCTAACTTGTCTCCTATCATTTCCCACTAGGAGGTAAGTTCCTAAAGCCTAGCACAGTGTTGTCAGCAGGAAGTACTCATACATGTTACCAAATGTGTAAGTGGGTCAGTAGATAAATAAACTCAATGAATAAATTCAAAATGGAAAAAAAAACTAATTCAGTGACTATGATTTGTCTATGAATTTCTTTTCCATATGGAACCCACCCAGTATCTATTGTTCTGAAATGCCATACTATATGATACGAGCAGCTTTATCATATATCATATACTGAGTTTAAGGCAAGGACAGGGAGAGTAGCAAACACAGGTTGAGAGTTAAGTCTGGTCCTTGTTGGGCCATGCACTGCCCACTAAGTGTCACCTCTAGGCAGTCCATGGTGTGCATATCAGATCACTCTAATACTGTGTCTCATCATTTTGTATTAGTAGCTCTCTTTTGTCCTTTAAATCAATACTCCATCTGAGCTAGGTATGAGTTCTTCTCCTTTACCTGTGATCTTTTTTACCTTGTCAAGACATAGTTCCACATAAATGAGTAAATCTTAAGACCAAAACCATTCCAGCAAATAACATCCAACAGTATGCTCACAGCTAAAATACCTGCTTTGTTTTATGGTTATAGCCTTGCCTTCTTTTGTACATTAAAATTGTATCTATGAAGATGCAAAGTTCTGAGGGGTATGGCCATTTAATCTGTCTACTGTTCTCTGATATACAAGGTTTCCATCCTGAAAGATTCTCTCTATACCAATTCTAACACAATTTCCCATGCTAAAATTTCGGTGTTCCTTAAACGCATCTCCATGTCTACCTTATATTTTTATTTCTAGCAAATTGCAGGTGTCTAATCCGAGAAAATGTGGTGGGTAGCTCTTAAAAATATTAACTGAGCACTCGGGAGGCAGAGGCAGGCGGATCTTTGTGAGTTGGAGGCAAGCCTGGTCTACAGAGTGAGTACCAGGACAGGCTCCAAAGCTACACAGAAAAAATCCTGTCTCAAAAAAAAAAAAAAAAAAAAAAAAAAAAAATTAACTGAGAATGTAAGACCCTAAGAAGGGAGCTGGGGGCAGCTTGTAAGGGAGACGCAGGTGGGGAAGGTGCTCAGTTACACGAAGCTTAAAAAACGGTCCCTCGGCTATGCTGTCAGGTCACAGAGCAGAGCAGAGCACATGCTCTTCCCCTGAGGCAGCAACTATGTCATCAGCCCAGATGGGTCCTCCAGGGAGGAGGAAGGAGACGTGACTACTTGCTGTGTTCATTCATTTGATGATGGGAAGATGAAATGTGTGTTGTCCTGTGAGGAGAACCCCGGATCTGTCTTTGCTGCCCACACCCAACATGTCGTCTGAGCAGCCCAGGCACCCTGTCATAGGACACATATCTAGGAATACTAGCGTGCACTTGCACTGATGAGTTTGCTTGTTGTGGCAAATTCCATGGTGAGAAGAAAGGAGGTTAATAGGAAGAAAAAGCAAGCCCCACTTTATGGGCAAAAAATGCTGTGAGAGAAGAGGTCCTCAAATGACAATACAGCAGGGGAAGAAGTAATGACAGAAGTGACGTCAGTAATGATAGCCGCCACATTAGCAGTGCTGACTAGGAGTCAGACGCTCTCCTGAGTGCTTTACGTGGACCGGCTTCTTTGTATGACAAGAACTTCGTTGTCTTATGAAAAGAACTGAAAACAATGGAATTAAATTACCAGCCCAGAGTCTTCTGACTAGCAAAGGGAAGGCTAGTTCACACCCAGCAAGTCTTGTCCTGAGCCCTGTGTTCTACCATAGTTTGCAAATCACCCTCAGAGGATTGTGGTTGTTTGCAAGCTACCTGATAATCTTTGTGACATCAGACACAGATTTGAGAATGAACCTTTAGACACCTTAATTTCTTCTTAGTACTTTGACATTGTCTGTGAATCTAATAAATTGAAACGTATGTCTCATGTATTTCTAGGTCTTGAATTTCTTTTTCTGATAACTCATTTTTATTGTATCTCATAAAAGCATATATTCATAACAGATTGTGGGGATGCTGGGCTATTGCCATAGTTAGAGGAGCATTGCTCCAGATCCTTTCCTGTCCCATACTGCCTCCCAGAGAGTAAAGGAAGGACCATCTGCTTCAGTCCTAACACGTTTACAACAGAGTGTGTATTGGTTACCATTGGTTCTCTCCAAAATCTCTAGTTCCAGTATAGCCCTAGAATAACTAGAACATCTGATAATAGTCATATAAGTACTCTTTATTTTTGTGAATGTGTCTGTGTGTGTGCACGTGCACGTGCATGCCTGTGCACATACCATGGCACCTATGTGGAAATCAGAGGGCAGAGTCCATTCTCCCCTCCTACCATATCTGTCCTGAAGATCAAACGGCTCATGCGACTTGGTAGCAAGTGCCTTTTCCCTCTGAGCCATCTTGCTAGTCCCAGTGTTCAATATCTAAGAAATGGATGAGTCAATGAGTGGATGAAAATACACTTTCCTTACTACATGGACATATGTGACCATGCTTTCCCATCATGGCACACAATTTCTGGTCTTGAGTTGCAAAACCTACACATTGCTAAATTAGAATGTCATGGTTCTTTTACGCCTTGTGATCCACTGTAAGGACAGAATTGG